AGATGATACGCGATAAATGTATCAGGTACGCGTGCGCACACACGGATCATCACACACATACACATACACAAACACGCCGATCCACATACATACATGCATACGCATATATATATATATGTATGTATATATGTATATATGTATGTATGTATGTATGTATGTATGTATATGTATATGTATAAAACATGAATGAAGTGCATATACACGTAAACATAGGAATGGATAATACAAACGTACACTTTATACACGAATCACAGGTGACATTTATCTGAAAAAAAAAGAGAAAAAAAAAAATAGATGCACATGTGCACGTGCGCATAGAGAGAAAAAAAAAAAGATGAGAAGAAGAAGGGGATAGATACCTCCAAAAGACAATTTTACACAGGATGTAACAATGGAAACGCGAGACGCCCTGGGACGTGCGTGAAAAAAAAAACGTGTATGATATTATGTATACATAATATAGCATATAAAGTATATTATAAATAATGATGAATATAAATAAAAAATATATATATAAATACTATGAAGAAGTAAACAAAGTATAAATATGAAGGAAGTATATAAACGAGAATATAGGATAAAACACGCTTAGGCTTAAGAGTATAAGATATTATTATGATGATGTATGGTTGGTTTATAATGTAAAATATATTATAGAAAATGTATTCTGTTATCTTTATTCCCAATCCATTTTAGAATAAAGCATATCGTTTCAACAACTCGTTTCGTATTTTTTTTCTTATTGATTTATGAAATTGATTTTATTATCGTGACAAAACAATCATAAAAACTTCACTCGAAACTTCATTAATATTTTTTTTTCAAATGGAATATATTTCGTTCCACTTGTCGCATATTTATATAATTATATAATTAATACTCGAGTAAAAAAATTTTAAAATATCTTAATCTTCCTCCATTATTTTGGTAAGGAGAATTTATTCTCTATGTTTATTACTTTTATATGAACTTTCGTAATCAAGATTTCTTCAATGACCGTGAACACGTAATAATATATTGCTGATAGATATGAATCTAATAGATATGGCAGCCTTATTTGGACAGTAAAAGTATTGTAGATCAGATTATGTGAACGACACGAACAAGTAGAATGACTAGAAGATTAACGATACAACCAAAGCATAAGTTTTGTCTGACGTTATCAAGCATATCATCCTGGAGAATGGTATGCATAGTTTACGATTTTTCTTCTACGTATCACGGCAATTGAGATCTCCTTCAACAAGTCGTTAACGATTGTTAATAAAAAAAATTGTATTCATGCAAAAGAAAACGAAATTAAAATACGAAATTAAAATATTTGTTATTTATAATAAAAAAGTAAATTTCTATATATATATATATATATATATATAGTATATTCATAATTTCATGCAAAATAATTGAAATTAATACTTGCAATTAAATATACAGAGATGTAATTAAATTTTCATGTATCTAATACATATATATTGTATATAATTTTAAAATAAAATAAGATTAATTATTCGCGACAGAAAAACGCAACAAATAAATTAGCAATTAGCATCATATAATATTTGCAGCATAATTCTAATAAAATTCATAAATTTAAGTAATACTTTATATTTATACAGACACTAATGAAACATATGATTAATTTTTGTGACAAAAATACAACATGGAATAAATCAAGTACGACAATATTTTTGTTTCATCGCAGTTTAAGTCTTAATGCTTAATTAAATTAAATACATCGTATCATCGTCGATGCAACAACAATGCGAATCACGTGCGAGGACATGAAATAAGTTGAGTTAAGAGCAAGACGAGGTAAGTCGATTAAAAATAAATCATCTTTTTGCGCTTGCCTTATAATTCTATTTATACTATTTGGAAAGAACTTGAACCGACCGATAATTCCCATCGAAATAACGACATTTCGAAACAGAAATGACGCGCCGTTGAATTCGGATCGCGGATGAAGAAACACAAGCGTAATTAGTGTTGCCAGCATCATCGCAAAATTGAAAACGAATGGACAAACTGGTCGCAGTGATATTGAGAATTGTGCCAAGAGACGGGAATATCCGCGTGAATCGACTGTCTCGGTGTTGTTGGCTAACTCATACTCGTCTGCTCGGCCGTGAACGTACAAAAGATCCTGTGTTTGGATCACACAGAGGATAGATATATAGGCACGTTTAATTGCGAGATAGGGGCGCGGTGTTCAGTTATGTTAGCGAAATTGACGGACGCACGAACGTGACAACCGAGAAAGTTTGAATTTTCTGCCCTTGCGCATACATACACTTCGGTTTAATTTGTAAAGTGTTGTTAAAAGTATCAACTTCGCGTGGAGAATATTTTTTGATTGATGGAAAAATATGATGTGTAACGTAATTATACAAAAAAAAAACTTTCTGTTAATTAACATTACGAGATTATTATCCGCAAAATCCATTCTTGTATCAAAATTTATAACGTTCTAAAATGATTAAATGTAAAATGAATATCGTGAGATGCCGTGTGCTAGAGATTACATAAGCGTTACGACACATTACGAAATCAATTCCTTTCGGCTCTAAACATCATTGCATCATTGCGCCAAAATTAAAAAGAAAAAAAAGAAAGAAATCTCAAACGTAATTCTGAATCATTTAAAAAATCATGATTAATTTTCAAATATACATCTGTACATTTGATAAAAATTCTCCACGCTTTTATCTTTAGAAACGATGACATTTGTATTTAAAAGCGAAACTTGTACAAGCTTTGTACATAATGAGCGCGTTCTCAAATACAAATTGTTATATGAATGTATACCCATAGGGAAACACCTATACAAATAAACATACAGTTTTGTATACATATTATATATACATATATATATATATATATATTATATATATCGAATACCCAACGGACGACAGAACGTACAAGAGAATAGCGTAGTATAAAGCATAAACTACAATTAGCGGTAATCCGCGTGACACGGGCATGGCACCCTTTGCGCATATTAAAGCATTAGCTACCGAGTCATACGAGCGAACCGTACATCATTTCAGGACGTGGCCACGTCTGCCACGGTAAAATCGTTAAATTTACGAAGAAACACGACTGGCTCGATACGTTGTGACTGAATTTTAGTAGCGATCTAGATATGTCTCGGTATACGCGTGGACAGTGGACTGTCACCGGTGTATCGTGCATGTCGCTATGGAAATATGTATTATTTCGGGATCACTAGCGGAAAAAATCGGTTATCGAGATAAATTACGAATAAAATTCAATGGGAAAAGTTTTATACACAAAACTGTGGAATGAAACATTGATAATTGATAATTTTGATTTTGATCTTGTTCAATGAAGAATTAACGATTTTGTAATCGAAGATTTCGGATTATCATATCGATCAATCATTCCAAGAAAATTGAAGAAATAATAAGATCGGATATTTGATAAAATTACCTGCGAAATTAATAAAACGATTACGGATGATTATAAATATCTGTTTAATTATATTTAGGAAAATATATTTTTAAGAAATTTTTAATTAAAATTTAAAAAAATTTAAATATTGCAATGCTTTCATAACATTTTAAGTACAGAATATAAATGATATTTTTATTGATTGCAAAAACCGAGTAAAATTATCAATCCTCTTTATAGATTTTTAGTCAGATAAGCTTTCCTAAGACTATTTAAAGAGCTTTAATCAATGTATTTCTCTGTGAAGTTGACTCGATTCGTTTGAGTATATTTGTCCACACTGCGTCGAGAGTTTTTGTAAAATTTCCGTTCGATAGCAGTTCTAAAACAACAGATACGAGTACTCCAATTTCTTCGTTTCAATTAACAGAAAAGTTTAGGACAACAGTTTCGAATGAAACAAATGTGGTCTTCTAGAATTGGCCTCATCGGTCACCAAGGAAGCGTGGAACTGCATAGTTCCCTCTACCATTTTCATTTGCGGTTGTCGGTCCAATGCTATTCCACTACTTCCCAAAGCTGTCTTCATCCCCTACCACCTTCATACATTTTGTTGAACAAGTTTATGCGAAACAATAAATCTTATTGCATTTGTCCTTGGCTTAACATGATTTATCATTAGGTTTCTTTTATATGTAATAGTTCTTTCATTTATCTCTTAAATTCTATTATTACATTTTTCAATTAAAATTGTCAATTAAAATAAAACTTCTACATTAAACAATTTAGGTTTCTTAAATCATATATATGTAGAATGTTCAGAAAATTGGTATACGCGTTTTTTTAACAACTTTTTTTAACAATTGATAATTTGCGTTGATAAATATAAATATGATGAAGAAATAATTATCAATTTCAGAACTAAAAATTTTTCAAAATCATCAAATTTATGTATAATTTATGAATTTGAATTGTTAATTTTATGTAAAGTTAGTGTTATAGAATTTTATATTTAAAATCTATATGTAAAATCATTATTTTTAAGAATTTCTATCGTATTCTGCGGCAATAAATGTCCAATGTTTAAAGAGTTTTTCAGAAGTTTGCATAAAAGATTTACTTGTTTCAAAATATTTATAATTATTATAATAATTATTGTTATTATTAATTTAACGAACTAAATAAAATTTTATTTTTATTAACTATTACAAATATCAATGTTCTTTTTTTAAAATTAATTTTTTTTTAAATAAATAATAAATTAAACAGAGGCTAAATATTTAAAATATAAATTTTAGAAGAAAAAAATATTACTAATGATCTAAAAAATCTTTTTTTTTATTTTTTTAAACAGGAAAGTGTATCGATATATGTATTAATAATTATTAATAAATGATATAATGTAATAATACATATATATATATATAATGTTCTGTAATGTTATTTATTTTAATTTCTACAATATAATTTCTACAAATAAAAAATAAAACTCGTTTCAAAAATTTATTATATCCAATTTCCAAATTTACTATAATACATAATTTCCACTATTTAACTGTCCTAGGGACAGTTTCATGATTATTCTAGGGAAATTATTGATGTCACTATGAATATAAAATCTAGTAAGTAACTAAATATTACTAAATAACAATTACAGTATTTCAATGTGATGTCGATATTATTTGAGTATGATTGCCAATATCTAATTCCAAAAAAAATATTGTTTTATAAACAAAAATACTCATGACAATCTTTTTTAAAACAACTGAATTTTTGGTACTTCTTGGAATATAAAATAATCGTTCCCATATAGAAGTGCAACTAAAATGCGATACTTAACCTTATAATTTATAGAGGTTATGTTGTGAAACAAACGTAATAAAAATGGCTTATTTAACAAGAAAAGAAATAGATGAAATGAAACCACAAATAGAAAAAGCAGTTCATAAATTTCTTGGTTTTGGGGAACCTGCTATTGTGACTACAGCTGTCAATTGTATTACTTCAGGTTACGATAAACGCAAAACAGCAGGTTTGTAATAATTAATATTATGAATTGATTAATTATATTGTTTAAATATAATTGGTATAATTAATTAGAAATTTAATATATTATTTTATGTATAAATTTATTATCTCTATGAAATAGAAAATGTTCGTTATTTTTTTAATTTTGCAGATAAATTATCCGCTTTATTGGAAGATAAAAAAGCTTCAAAATTAACTGAAAAAATATTTGCAATATATGATGATGCCAAAGCAGCTCAAAAAAGTAAAAAACGGAATCATGTGGAAGACAAGGATAAAGACAAAGATGCAAAAAAACCTAGATTTAGGGATGATGAAATCAAAAATGAAAAGACAACGGAAGCACAATTATCTGCTGATAAGGTACTTTATATATTAATATAAATATAATATATTATATTTATATTATATTATTATTATAATATAAATATAAATATTTAAATATAAATATTATTTTAATTACTTTAATTGCACTGCTTTCATTTAGATAAGACAAATGATGGCTAATGCCCAAAAAGAAATTGAAGAAAGAAAAAGAGCATTAAAAGCTATAAAACAAGAAGAGGTTCCACCAGTAAAACCTTTACTTAAAAGAGATTCTTTACCAACCGTAGGAAGCATGTACAATCAGGGTTTATTAAGTAAAACAGATTCTGACAAAGCACGAAAAATTGCTGCTTTGCAAGCTCAAATTAGAAGTAAACTAAGTTCAGGATTATTAGGTAATGTCAGTGTTCCAGATAAACCAACTCCTCTAATTTTGGATGAATCTGGCAGAACCGTAGATATAACAGGCAAAGAAGTACAATTAACGCAAGTAGTGCCAACGTTAAAAGCTAATATTAGAGCGAAAAAACGTGAAGAATTTAAAGCCCAATTACAAGAATCAAAAGGTCCAGAAGAAATTCAAGATACACACTTTTTTGATACTAGAATAGGTGTAAAACCTGCAGTAAGAGGCAAACGTACTCTCAAATTTCATGAACCTGGAAAGTTCCAACAGTTAGCTGAAAGAATTCGTATGAGAGCTCAGTTAGAAAAGTTACAAAATGAAATTAGTCAAATTGCTAGAAAGACTGGTATAAGTTCAGCAACTAAATTAGCCCTCATAGCTCCAAAAACAGAAGCTTTAAGCGAAGATGTGCCTAACGTAGAGTGGTGGGATTCTGTTATATTAACAGGAGGATACCCAGATGAAAATGAATCCACAACTATTAAAAGTTCCACTATTACAAATTTAGTAGAACATCCTACGCAAATGCGACCACCAAGTATGTATTTTTTTAATACATACATATAATTTATTTCAGATAAATTATATAATAAAAATATTTAATATTGATTAATTATTTTTTATATTTTAGCTGATCCTTTAAAACCTATATATATGCCTGTATTTCTAACGAAAAAAGAACGCAAAAAATTACGAAGACAAAATAGACGAGAAGCTTGGAAAGAGGAACAAGAAAAAATTCGATTAGGCCTTGAACCACCTCCAGAACCAAAATTACGAATTTCGAATCTTATGCGAGTATTAGGTACAGAAGCTGTTCAAGATCCTACGAAAATAGAAGCTCATGTTCGACAACAAATGGCTAAAAGATTAAAAGCACATGAAGATGCTAATGCAGCTCGAAGACTTACTGCCGACCAGCGACGTGAAAAGAAGGCGCGAAAACTTAAAGAGGATACTACACTCGGTGTACATGTAGCTGTTTATAGGTAAATTTATTATGAAAGTTTATTACAAATATAAATATAATAATAATAATAAATATAATATATATTTATAATATATTATGTAAAAATATATTAATATTGTTATTACAGAATACGTGATCTTTTAAATAACGCTTCAAAGAAATTTAAAGTGGAAACAAATGCAAAACAACTTTATCTCACGGGTTGTGTAATGCTTTTCCGAGACTGTAATGTTGTTGTTGTAGAAGGAGGAGCAAAACAATTAAGTAAATATAAACGATTAATGATGAATCGAATTAAATGGGAAGAAGATATTATAAAAGATAATGATGGAAATGATGTACCGAACAAATGTGTTCTCGTATGGGAAGGTACTAGCAAACAGCGTCATTTTGGAGAAATCAAATTTAAAGTTTGTCCAATTGAAAAAATGGCTCGAGAGCATTTTAAAAAACACCAAGTTGAACATTATTGGGATTTAGCTTATAGTGGAGCAGTACTTGATAACACAGATGATATCCGTTCTTGAAAATGGATTCTGTAATTTCAGCAATAAATGCTAATATGGACGCAATCATAGATAATTTCAATACATTTTAAGTGAGTAATTATCGTGGAAACAAACAATAGTTAAAAAAAAATGAATAATGTAAGCAGTGGCACATAGAGCGAAAATAAAAGTGCTCAAGGCCTCTCTAATGACAGTTTTATTTTTAAGTAGTTATAGATACCCTGGATCCAAAAATATAAAATTGTATTATCAAAATTATTTATACTTTATAAATTAAATTCAATTCAAGATAATATTTTTTTCATGAAATGTTAAATCAACTCTTGAAAAGGATCTTTTTATATATAAAATGAGAATAAATAAAAAATAATATATTCGTTTAATTCAGAACTAAACTTTCCCAAACTCGAATTAGTTATGTTTGTAGTACATCATTTACTTATATATTTTTTAACGTGTCAATATCATTTAACATATATTTATGAAATTAAAATATTCGATAAGAAATGTAATACTGAATTTGAATTATTTTCGAGATAATTTCGATCGTTTGTAAAAAAAAAAAATATATACGGATAATTATCTTTACGCAAATAATTCTTATAAAATTATTTCATTCTTTAAACTTATTTATTTTAGTTTATCTGCCCACGCTGAATATAAATAATCACACATGACACGTAATGTCGTTTTGTGGATTGCCGCATCCAGATTGTAGGCGTGTGTTCGAGTCTGTATAATCAACGCAGTTAATCATTCGCAACGTCGTATTCAAGAATTTCAATCTATAGGTAACATTACAGTCAAGCCTGTAAGTGTCAATTAGCATAGTGCAACGGCATTGAGAGGCTATACACGAGGTATGCTGTAAAAGAACACGCAACATATATATATATACAGCATGCCATATATACGAAAGTGTGAATGCACTTTGGAGCCTTGAAACTGTACGTCCAACCGCGACTACGAATAACATAGTCTATGAAAGGTGAACCTTGGTCTTGTTCATAATACCAATCTAGCTGCAACCACGATGCGCTTTTACCATATCTTTCAAGTGTTATACGTCGACCGAGCAATACATCGTTGACACCCTATATTAACATGATCCTTACTTGGCCCCACTCTTTGAACCCACTGAACGGACTGAAGTTTTACTTTCGTTCGAGGATTGGTCTTAGTTCAGGTTTACCGCTTCGTGTTCTTGTGCATACCCGGCGCGGCTCTTGCGAAATTTTACGAGGCAAATGAATTTTATCAATTACTATCACACTGGGATAGTTTTGAAAAAAATGCCCGTGTGTATAAGACGAAGATCGATCAACGGTATATTTCTCTTCCTATCGCGGTGAGTGTTTTGCGTTTTCATTTTATGAGATAAAACGAAACGCGGCCACTTCACTGGCATACAGTGAATTCTAGTGAAATTTGAAGTTATTTCATCTATGAAATTAATATTTGATACATTCAATGTTTAGAAATGATTTTTTCTTTTATATTTTAAAGATAATGTCAAAATTAAAAATATATATAATTATATCTTTAAAATCTTGTATCAATATTCAATTATTATGAGCTAAAAATATAGATATTTTATCGAAGAAGAAATATTATCAAAAATATTAGAATATTGATTAATAATTCTACGTTACTTGTTAATGAATAAATTTGATGAAATATAACTTCATGTGTATAATAGGAAAACATCACTATTCAGTGATTTATTTTTGTGATAAAAATTACAGCATTTAGTTTTGAAAACAAATTTTTTAAGCAAATATTTTATAATTCAAATAAATGCCTTCTATTATTTCAACATTTAATTAGTGATGTAATTTTATTACAATAGTAAGAGGAAGGCCATGTGCTTGTATTTATTTTTAATATAAATTCTGAAGGTTGAAAAATTAATTAGATAGTATATATAATATTAATGAAATCTTTTGCATAAAACAATGTAATAATATTTATAACATTTTGAATGTGCATCAGATTTAAATTTGTAAATATTTTTACTAAGAAGAATTGTAAATGTATATGCAAGAAACTGTGTATTTTATATAAAATACGATGTAAAATGAACTTATGAATGCATCCAATGTATCAGAAAATTAACTTTTAATTATATATCTTACAAAATCAAAGTTTTTGTGTTAAATGCCTTCTACATTACATCATCAAAAAAAAAAAAGTTTCATAAAAAATACTTAACAAAACATCATTTATTATTTGAAAATAATAAAGATCAAATAATCATACATTTTCATTTAAAAATTTCAATTTTATTATTTTGACCTATTTACTTTATGATCTTTGATATTTTTATCAATATAAATATAATTTTCTTAACGATATTTTTCATTAGATATAAGATAAAAAATAAAATAACATTACGTTTCAATTTGTATAAATATTGGACAATTCTTTTTATCCAAAAATTTAACGAAATTTGCTTTTAGCGGAAAGAGAGTAAAAATTTAAAAAAGTTTCTTCGGTAAAAGTTTGTTCGAGTCACGCTCTCGAATAATAGCTTCCACCAATTTATACGAACACTAATCATGGGAGTAGAGAAGATTACGTAAGAAAATCACAAAAGAACCAGGAAGAAACTTAAATGTCAAGTAACGAATCTTCTTCGATCTTTTCTTAAGGTCGATCGAATTCTTTTCGTTCTCTATATCGTATTAACATGATCAAAAAATTAACCCGTTGAAAGAATTGACTTCGAGATATAGGAGAAACGATGAATGAATTTAACGCGATAAATGGAACGACAAACAATAAACGGAATAAGGCGAAATGTCATCTTCAAGACAAGGTCTCTCGGGTTCATTGCAATACCTGTAACGAATGTTGGAATAAGTCACGCGAAACTCTTCGTAAACTCGTTTTTCCTTTTTTTTTTTATTACTTATTTATTTATTTATTTTTATACGAGGAAACTGATTTAATGGAAAATCATATTTGCGAAAAGTTGTATGTATTTAATTGCATACTCCATTGCATTTTCAGTTGCAAATATACAGATATAAAAAACAACTAATGTAACCCTGTAATTGCGATTTAACGATTGATCTTATCGTGTAATTGTCAAGATAAATAATAAGAGAAGTTTTGAATTTACATGATAATTATTAGGTAACATCAAGGTATAGGTATATTGTCTAATAGAAATTATTAGACAATTTCTCACGAATTCACTTCAACTGGAAAGTGTAACATTATCATGATATTTTCATCACTTTCTCACAATGTTACATTCTCACAATGTTAATATCCTAATATTTTACTTCTTTTTCTTTTTTTCTTCGACATTGTTTTCACTTTCATAAATTTAATTTATGAATTCGAACGAAACAGGCTTGCACTTTTACTTGTAGGGACAAGCTTATATTTCTTATCTTTAGATTCCGATTCGCAGATTCCTTACTATATCGGTACTCGTCGACGGTACGACATTACCGTCAAACATGTTACTGGATCTGGGTAGACGTACAAATATCTCTATGGAGAAATACGAGCAGGCGGAACGAGCGATCCTGAACTCGCGCACGCATTTAAATCACGGCTCACCCTCGTGGTTCCTTGGGGCGTCACACGAGATAACCGAGCACGCCCAAAATCTGTCGAGGCGAGCCCTGCGAATAGAAACGATGGCTGTGATGTTGGTGGAAGCTTTGAACATGTCATCGAAAGAGGCGACGTCCGTGTTGCCATCAGTTGCCCCCATCAATTGCCCCGACTCGCCTACATTTTTGCAAGTGATGGCCAGTTGCAAGAAGATCGATCCTCGCTACAGGACGCACAGCGGAAAATGCAATAACGGTTTGCATCCGACTTGGGGCGCTGCCCTAGAGGCTTACGTCCGATTCTTGCCACCCGAATACGTGGATGGCGTGTCTTTGCCACGCATAAACTTGCCAAGCGCCAGAGATGTCTCTTTAAACGTGCATTCCGGTGGATCCGACCTCAAACATCCCTACCTAATGGCCCTCACTGCACTCTTCGGCCAATTCCTCGTCCACGATCTTGCGCACACACCGAAGATTGAACTACCCGATGGAGCGAAATTGAAGTGTTGCGACGTGGATTACGAACACTTTCATCCAGAATGTTTCCCGATCCGAGCCGATAACGCTGTCGGTTGCATGGAATATTCTAGATCGGCGCCGCACCCAGGAAATTCGTTACAGGTAAATTATCGAAGAATAATAGAAATGCATAACCGTGCGAGTAAAATCTTTTGCAACAATTCTTACGAAAGTCTGTCTACGCGTCTCACGTTGTTAGTAAGTAAGTAATTCAGAGAGTTGAGAAAATTATTCTTTTTTTTTTTTTTTTTTTTT